TTATTAGATATCATAAGTTTTTGATATTGTTTCGATTTCGATCTGCTCTAGCTTATCTATAACTCTTTCGACGTTATATAAATTCATTTTTTTTTAGTGATATTTGAAACTAAAGAACAATCGAAAGCTTTTTAGATAAGATATTTGTTTTTTTTTGATATGCTAGGACGAAAATCTCGGGCACAAAAAAAAATAGTTCCAATTTCGCGTTTCGTAGTACATATACTACGGAAAAACACCCTATCATTGTCTAGCAAGAACAATGAGTTCGAGACATATTGCGTGATGTCTAACATATTTACTCTTGGAAATTCATTGGTTTTTTTAATTCATTAATACTTCATTTAATATGCACATTGATGTGCTCGATAACTCCTGTTGTTTATAAAATAAAAGCATTAATTTTACTTTTAAAATTATAGTAGCAAATATTCAAGTGTTCGTAACTCAATAATTTTGATATACACTTTTAAAACACATAAGTCGGAAGAAAACGACATTTGACGCAATTTTACAAGACGTAAAAGATATCACTTTTGATGAAATGGTGTTGATCTAGGGCTCACATCAATCTGTTCGATATAAAGTAGCGCAATAATCTTTGAAAAGTCCAAAAAATTACTTTGAACGGAACTCGTGGATTGACATTTCTGGGAAGCATGCTAACTTATTTTTGCCTACTTAAAAGATTTTCAAACGAGCTAAAAAAACCATTGGTGACAACCAGAATTTAAATATGGATTTATAAATGTTGTACCTAGTTTAATACAACAGTTGTGAGGAACTTCTTTGACAGACCAAAAAAATTATTAATAATGATGAGTCAAAAAAAATTTCTTTACCCTATAGGTCTTTGTTCGAACATGCTAAAAATTGTCGGAGTCGATCGTGTTGTATAACGGACACTTCTCTACAAAATTTAGTATTGAATTAAGCTGTAGTTATTATTCAAACATTTCTTCAATAGCTCCTTGAACTAGAAAGCGATTGTTGATTTTCAAAAATTAAGTATTTAGGAAAAACGAAATTTTAGCTGCCTTGTTGAAACACAAAGAAGAACTTCGAATAGTGAATTTAGTATGGTGGCTTTTGATCGACAAGCTAATATGTAATTAAAATCTTTAGTTTCGGTTGGGACACCTTTTTTTCGTGTAGTCACACACGTCTCTACTCCTTAACAATTGTTTACGAGTTACAATGTTTGATCCTTGATATTGCTGTTCTAGAGTGCTATAAGCTGACACACACTCAATTTAAAATGATATTTGACATAGAAAAGTTTCGTCTTGTGTAAAATTTTCAAAATAGATTTTCTATGATGTATATTCTATGAAAAAGAAACATTGAGTACTTGTAGTTCGTTACACACTAATATTCTTTTTAGGCACATTGGCGTGGACATCGAATTCGTGTTGACAATGAACGTAATAACCATCCTATTGTTAATATTCTTAAAAAACTTCGTTCGTATAATTCAAAAAATAATTCATCATTAACATTACGTGAACGCATGATAAAAATTGTACAAGAATATTGTGAGTTATCAGCATCATCTCTTACTAGTTATTTACATTTTATACGTGATATAGAACCAATTATCAATTCGTGTCTAGAAATACGTTATTTAATAGCTGAGCAAGGTTTATTACGTTTATTTTTTCTTTTAATAAGATGCTGTAATCGAATAGAACCAATAACTGTTTTACATCGTAAAATTTTAATTATTTTACAATTATTTACTGTTAAACACAATCTTATTGTAAAATTAATTGATAAATCAGAACAAATAAAAGATTTTATTATGCTTTTATTAAAATATTATCAAAAAAATGATTGTGAATTATTTGAAGAAATTTGTTTTTTACTTCAAACTATTGTAAATAATGAACATGCTCGAAAAATATTGCGATCAAATAAATCATTTACTGAAACTATTCAATATATTTATAAACGTTTATTTAATAAAACATTAGTTAAAGATGCCAAATATCGACAACAAGTACGATCAACACCAAAACCATCACATGAATCAATAAAACGTCGTGTAACTGTATTAAATCAATCATCCATTCTTTATCCGACTCCGAAAATAATGCATCGATCAATTGGGATGAAAAACGAAAAGATTTTAAAACGAAATCTTATTTCAATTGAGCAATTTATGAAAGTTTTTTATTGTAATTGATTCTTAATGTATATGTCGTATCGAAGTTACACCGGTGGACGAAGTTATAACTTCGTCGTCTCATACTGACGAAGTTACAACTTCAACACAAATTTGTCGAAGATAATTTTGATTCATTTATCGATAAATAATTTACTTCATAGAATATCGTACTGCTGAATATATAATCAAAAATAATTTTTATTAAAAATAAATATTCATTTATTTAAGAGTATTCTTAAATAAATGAATATTTATTTAAAAAAAAACTATTTTTGATTATATACTCAGTAGTAGGATATTCTAGGAAGTACATTATTTATTGATAAATGAATCAAAATTTAACTTCGACAAATTTGTGTGTCGAAGTTGTAACTTCGATGACGATCATCGTCGAAGTTATAATTTCATCACATTTATACGACGAAGTTGTAACTTCGTCGACCGGTGTAACTTCGATACGACATATATATTGTATAGAATGATCGCTTCTTCTTCTTGTTTGTGTTTGAATAGAAATAAAATAAATATACATCTTAATATTTCATAAAAACGATATATTTTTCTTCAAATAGAAATAATCTTAACGGATTAGACCAGATGTTTAATTAATAGAAAACAATATTTCACATTGAATCTTAAGGCAAAGGGATATCAATTTAACTTTCTCATATCATTAAAGTTGGTAAATATATAGATAAAACTCACAATAGATATTTCCAATCGAATATACTTTGCGGACCATAAATAGAATTACGATGAATTATTTGAAAATTCTCTGCCACCGTTTGCTCAAATAGTTTGATTGTTTTATCAGTCATACTCATGTCGCACGTTTGTTAACACTACCAACATTCGAGAGAAGAACAAAGTCGCAGAATATTATTTAATAATGCAAATTTTTGCAGAGTCATCTATAATAAAACTCACCTTCTAATGGAGGTTAATTTGGGTTCTGCACGTAGCACAGGTCGCTCAGACGCATCAATATAGCCAGGGTATATCGCAACTAATTGACGTCACTTTTTGCAGACTTCAATAATATTCCCTTGTTTTGATACAATACACTACGATGCAACATTTCTGAAAAAGACTTCCGACATAGTGCTCATTATACTGGTTGGTATACCAATGGTAGTTTCTCAATAGTTATCACATGGACAGAAGGGCGGGTTCGGAATACGAACCTGTCATACGTGTACACCCGTCCACACCAGTGGTGGACTCAAGGGCCCAGAGAAATCTCAGTCCTCCTCCTGTTAGAGAGATTTCTGAAAGATGCGTTCTTTTTTTGAAAAGCCCCATCAGTGAGCTTGATGATCTATAGAGAGGACTGAGCTCTACCCTCACCTAAAATCCTGATTCGGCCACTGACTCACACCCTTGTAGTTTCGACCCAACAAAATTAGGACTCAACTAGAAATAAATTCATAGAATCACGTATTTTACTAAAAGCAAAGCGGAAGGAAAGAAAAGAAAAAATCTTGATCATAGGAGTTCTGTCGATAAGCAGTATAAATACAGAACCACGCGTTATGATCTAATAAAAAGATGTCTGCATAGAATTCCACAAGCGTCCAAATTGATAATGTGGAACGACTTTATTAAAAAGAATTAAAAGAATATATTGGTTTCCTACGTGACAACCTTCGAAAAAAACATGTTATAACACAAAGTTCATGTGAAAAAAAAATGGAAGCTTTTTATTCGGTGAAATATCATTCCAAGAGACATGATTGTTCATTTGTAGGTGAATAGACTGAAGTACGTTGACTTGTAGTGTTTACGGAATGAAAAAGAAATTCGTTGAATAAAATATTCATTGTATTCAGATGTTATCTCTAGTCGAGTTCTAATTTGGACTGAACAAAATTAGTATTTCAACTTTGCCTTGACTAATTTAGAGTCTGACCAAATTACAATTTTGCCTCCAATAAACACACGCCAATCGTTTCATAGATAATTTTCAGCTTTATTCTCTTCGATAAAAGCTGAAAATTATCTATGAAATACTGTCGATGTATTTTTCTTACAGAACACTAGTATTTGTTTATATGATCTACACAAAAAAAAAAGAATTAAAATAAGCTTCTTTGATCTACAAAAGAATCAATCCATCGAAATGAATCGAAGCGACGATATTTGAATTTTTTCTCATAGTGTTTTTGTGGTCCATTTGTGTACTTATCATAAATGAATATCGAGATGACTGTATATAAAAAAATCAAACATAATCAAAGTGAATTTCATCATATATGGCAGGTGATCATGAAAAAAACGCAAACTTTCATCAGTATATGTTTGTTTGACCTGAAGAAATTCGAAGGTCATACTTTTGAAACTAATCAACACACCCTTATATGTGTATCTGCATTGATTTCATATAATCAAATTTATAGATGAAAACAAAGCATACTCATTTCTCTCATCAATAAAAAGATTTTTATCGTTTTTTCAACAAGAAAAAAAAAATAATTTAAAAAACATAATAAAAAAAATTGATTATATATTCCATTATATGCAGCTCATGAAGTTTTTTAATCAACAAAATCGCATGATGATGTACATACCAAAATATAAAAAAACATTCAAGATTACCAGGGTATTGTTGTCGAAAAGCATGAAACCTCCTCTTAGATCGACGAAAAATGAATATGTGAAGTTTGCTCTAGAATTAAATTGGCTTCACAACAAATAAAAACTGATTTACATACAATTCTTGCTGATTCTTATAAAAAAAAACTCTATCATTCTTTTTTGTTTTATTTTATAATCTGAATAAAAAAAATCAGAAGTAAGATTGAATTGAATCAATTTGTACAAAATAAGCTTGACGATGGCTACACCATTACCTACTGTCCATGTTGCACATACAGCACGAATGAGACGTCGACGATCTCAATCTGTAACAATATCAAATACAGGTCCACAAGACAACAATATTCGAGTGCAAAGTCTTGGACGGGTAAGCATAAATCAAATTATATTAGAAATATCTATGTTATACAGAATAATTTTAGAAAGAATTTGTGGCACAATTACAAAAAGAACGACTGAAACAACAGATGAAACACGATGAACAAGATGAAGGTCAAGACGAACAACAACATAATGAAGAAGATCGTCATCAACCAACAGTTAGTCGATTAGCAAAGTCTAGTAGAACCATGTCAATGAGGAAAATGGCAACATCAGCAGGCGTAACGGTAACTACTGTGAAGAAAGAACTACCATCGACAGCATCGAAAACTACTCATGCACAAGAAGATGAACAAAATCATACGCATCAAGTGCAAGTTACTCATGTACCACGATTAGGATCCACAAGGTCAATTAAAAGACCTAATCCAATTACATTAGGTAAGGGTTCCGATGTTAATTCATTAAAAACATTCAAAAATTGAAATCTTAATTCACCGATAGAAAGTAATGGTTCATACCTTGAGTCATCACAAACATTGTCGAATCCTATGACAGCATCATCCATTCCTTTAATAACATCATCTAGCAATTACATGACAAAATCTGAAATATTCGATCAAGAATTTTCTCTCAATGACGGAAAAGATCGTACAAGAAGAAATGATCTTAAAAGTCAAAGTAGTATCAGATTAGATGAACAAGAAAGGTAGGCTATTTATATTAAATAATTCTTGAATTCACATGTTCGGTTTTTTTTTCATGCAAGAAATCCCAATGTTTCTTGTACACGACCATATGCAAGTTCTAGTGCACATTTTTTGACTTCCGTTGTTGCAATAATGATTGGCTGTATTGCATTTGCATTTAGTCTTACTGCATTGGTACTTGTTCTACTTCTTCGGTCGACAGTCGATTCTAAATTAGGTTTGAAAGAACTTTTTGCTTTCTCATTTATAATTTTCTTCTTTTTTTTGATAAAAAGAATTGTTTTTTTTTTTTTATTGCTAAGTAGCATATTTTAATAGGATTCTTTTCTATTATAGCAACAAACTCAACAACATCAAGTTCGTCATCAGGAACTTTGCCATCTGCATGTTCCAATTATACCACTCTCGATGATCCAACTCGAAATGTAGCTGCAGCAGGCTATGCACTTGGTTGCGATACAACGTCACCATTCATTAATCGAACAATGCCAGTTTGGATAAGATTTATAGGTACAGGTGGTAGTACATTACCTTTAGCAACACCTGGTATGAATCTATGCGGTTCTGAAGGTACTGGTTGGTATGATGGTACAATGCCATCATCAACAGGCGAAATTATAAATGGAACTGCATGTTTTACTTGGTATTATAGTGTATGCCGATTTTCTTCTAGTATTAGTGTAGCGAATTGTGGTTCTTTCTATATCTATAATTTACCTCCACCGCCAGCCTGTATGTTACGTTATTGCACTATTTAATTGTATTTGACATGAATGAATTATATTTGAACATTTCTTTTTTTTTTTCAATAAAAGTTTTGCTTGCGATTTTGATAAAAAAGATTATTAAGTTCTTTCGAATGAATAACGGGTGAGATGCAAAAGTTCGTGTATAAATGTCAATTCATTTTTCATCGGATACAACGCGTGTGAACAAACTCGAAAATAGTTATACAGAATTGACACCGAAAGCTTCTTTTAACTGTATATTCAGACAAGTTATATTATGTCTCGTCTTCTTGGAAGAAGCACGTCTTTCAACAGCACTAAAATGTAGACTGTTGAAGGAAACGAATATTGCAGTAGGTACTGTTCCTGCGGTATTTAGCGATTTCTTTCGGTTCATTTCATAGATTGATGTTAATCTTTTCTCTATTAGATTGCCGTCTCTATTCTCGAGAAATCATGCAGTAAAGCTGAGAAAACTCATTCTCGAGTCTCTAGCCATTTTTGAATTGATGTTCGTATTGCTTTGTTCACTGTTCAATTTTATCATTTCCATTCATTGACTCAGGTATATTCATAAAGCAAGTATTTTGAGCCATTGACAATTATCATTTAAACTGGTTTTGCTTAAAAAATGCCACCATTAGAATCTCGAAAACTTTTATTGTCTCATCATCATTTTCACATTAAGTTTTGACGTTATTTCTTACATCATTATTTTTCAAATTGTCGATCACATCATCTAATGTGATACCGTACGTCTTTCTATCAAGTTTGTAGAGAATATAACGATGCATCTAATGGAAAAAAGATCATCAACACACAATCGACCGCATTGGACCGTATAAAAATAATACTGAGAAATTTTTTTCCGTGTCGATTACTTTGAGCTATTTTGACAGTTAGAAAGAGCTTTCGACGTAGATGCTGTACAAGTATTTTCTAGTTTATTCACACATGTATGAGTCGATAAAAAAACAAATCGACATTTGTGCAGGAATATTTGCATCATCCATTAGTTGGTCTTATATAAACGTAGTCTGCTGACATCTACTTTGAACTTTTCCAGTATTCGTTTATTATTCTTACCTAAAGACTTCTTTTCTGAATCATGGGAAAAAAGATGTCTTCGTGTTATTATTCATTAAGTTTTCTGTTTTGTCTGCTTGTTTTTTTTTTCTCCCCAAAAATTTTTTTTTATCAATATATGTATATATATTCTTCTCTTAGATATTTAATTCATATTTATTCTTTATTTTTTTTACTATAGATTATATTTTTTGTTTGATATAATAACATGGGAGTTCCAGCATTTTTTCGTTGGTTAACAAAAAAGTATCCATCAATTATTGTTAATTGTATTGAAGATAATCCTTCTACAGGTACATTACGTAAATAATTTTTTCATTAAAATGTTTTCGTTTAATTTTATTAGATGCTCAAGGTGTTTATCATCCACTAGATGAAACGCGTCCGAATCCAAATGGAATCGAAGTAAATATTTAAAAAAAAAAACAATTTTAAATATATCAGTCCTTTTTTATCTTTTAGTTTGACAATCTTTATTTAGATATGAATGGAATAATTCATCCGTGTACACATCCGGAAGATCGTCCACCACCAAAAAATGAAGACGAAATGATGATATTAATATTTGAATGTATTGATCGTTTATTTTCAATTGTTCGACCACGTAAACTACTTTATATGGCTATTGATGGTGTTGCACCACGAGCTAAAATGAATCAACAACGTTCAAGACGTTTTCGAGCATCAAAAGAAACAGTTGATAAAGCTGAACAAATGGAAAAAATTAAAAATGAAATACGTACTAATGGTGGTCTTTTACCTGAAGATAAAAATCAACAAGAAAAAAGTGAACATTTTGATTCAAATTGTATAACACCAGGTACACCATTTATGTCTAAATTAGCCGAATGTCTTCGTTATTATATAAGACATCGAATGAATACAAATCCAGCATGGCGTTCAATAAAAATTATTTTATCGGATGCCAATGTACCTGGTGAAGGTGAACATAAAATAATGGATTATATTCGTCGACAACGTGCACAACCAAATCATGATCCAAATACTCATCATGTTTTATGTGGTGCTGATGCTGATTTAATTATGCTTGGTTTAGCAACACATGAACCATATTTTACAATAATACGTGAAGAATTTAAACCAAATAAACCTCGACCATGTGATATATGTGGACAATTAGGACATGATATGAAAGAATGTCAAGGTATTGCAAAAGAAAAATTTGGTAAACATGATGAATTAATAGCAGCAAAAAATTATGATGAAACTCGTTATATATTTGTAAGACTTTCTATTTTACGTGAATATCTTTATCGAGATTTAGAAACTCATTATCAATTACCATTTCAATGGGATCTTGAACGTGCTATTGATGATTGGGTATTTATGTGTTTTTTTGTTGGAAATGATTTTTTACCACATTTACCATCACTCGAAATACGTGAAAATGCTATTGATCGTCTTATACGTATATATAAAGATAATGTACCTAAATTTAAAGGTTATTTAACTGAAAATGGTATACCAAATATGGAATGTGTTGAAATTATTTTAACAAGTATTGGTAAAATGGAAGATGAAATATTTATGAAACGACATGAATCTGATCAACAACAACGACAACGTGAACGAAATCGTTCATATAATAATCAACCACCTAATAAACGACTTCGAGTGACAGGAGAACGAAATGGGTATGTTTATTTTTTTATATTGAATGAATATTCATAGTAATAGAACTGAAGAAATACAGACTTTTTTCTTTTGTCTAACTTCTTATAAACAAAAAAAAGACTTCTAAAGAAGAACAAGCTATGTTGAACGTAGGAAAGTCAATCCATGACTCGCCTATCTAATATTCACGACGATATTAAAGATCGATGGATGTAAGATCAATAACTCAACAACGATAACAGTTAGTAGCTATGAGTGTGGATATAGTTATGAATGAAATCAATATCTATACTCACACCCCCTCTCGATAGGAATAGAATTAGAAGTAGACAAGCTAATTGCTGATGATGATAAAAATAAAATTTCTTTTTACATGAATAGACAATTTTATCTTTTTTTTTGTTCTACTCTGCATACTTACTTTTCATTGTAGAAATGCTTGAGTCAATAAAGAAACGATATTAGGTTTTTCAAAAACATAAACTTTACATAGATAATATACAACATCTTGTGAGAATTCCTATTGAATTTAATTAACTGTTATAAATTTATGTTGAATTTCTTTTAAATCTTTTTTTTATTATAGACCCGTAGCTTTACCTGTTTGGATGTCAGCACCTCAACTAGAACCTCAACCGATTGGTCAACGACCTAATTCATATATTAGTAATCCAGCTCAAGCTAATATACAGTTACGTCAGATGCAACGTGTCGATTTTTCATCAGATAATCGTCCTAGAAAACGTCCTTATAATGAAGTGGAACCAGAAACACCTGATACTCCTCTACTTGATCAACAAGATTCAATTAATGATGAAGAAGAAGATAATGATCCAAATGATACAGTTCGACTATGGGAAGAAGGTTGGCGGGAACGATATTATAAAAATAAATTTAATGTTACTAAAGATGATTTGGAAGCATTTCGTATACAAGTTGCACAAAATTATGCTCGAGGTTTATGTTGGGTTCTTCAATATTATTATCAAGGTGTACCAGCATGGGATTGGTATGTATTTTAGAAACGATTCATGAAAGAACTAAAGGATCGAAACACTAGTCAAATTTCAAATGTTGGGTATTTTTATGTGCATTGGAAGGGTCATTATGTAGAACCACTAAATCTAAATATTTAGCACATGCAAAACTTCTAGTCATATTAATCTAGATCGACTTTTTAGCGCTACTTATCTATTTTCCAGAAAATATGTTATGTAACTTTTGATTGTCTACAAAATGAAAAAAAAATTCCCTTCTGGATGAAAGATGTTCTATATCTCTTTTCTGTTCTGTGGTTTTTCAACAGAGAACAAATATCATTTGCCATGTTTCATTATCATGATACGGTTGTGAGGTAAAGTAAATGTAACATTCTAAATCAGTGTCAAAAACTATATTGAGTGAAATGCATTTTAGAGAAATTTTTTCCTGACGAAAAACTAAGTTCCTGAAGACTATAAAGCAATCCTTTTATTAAATATGACCATCACGGATCACATGGGTTTTTCTCACAGGAACAAAAATTTTCTCTAAAATGTATGATTTTATGTAGTTTTTGACATTGATTCTAAACGTGACTTGAACTTTGCCTTACAGCCATGTCATCGCAATGAAAAACCACTAAACATGATTTTTTTTTCTATTGGAAAATCAATATGTAGAAAGAGGTGTAAACAACGCTTTGCCTCGAAAGTAAATTTTTTCCAATGTTTTTTATCATTTTTTACAGAAGCAACAGTTACATCATGTATATAAAACTCAGTTTGGATTGTTTGATTTTGACAAATATCAACAGATATACAATCAAAAATCGACAGTTGTCCACTTATAAACTACGACCTTTTTCATTCATGTTCGATTATATAACCCCAGTTAACAGATGACATATAAAATTTGAAGTAGTCTATTTTTTCAGCTGTTGGTGCTCTATCTTCTAGTACACGGGATGAAAAAAATCTGTAGCTTGTTGAAGTGTAATTCTAGTAAACATGAATACGATAGTTCATCATTATTTTCTGAATCGTAAATAGATAGTGTTGAAAAGTCGATCTTGACTAACTTTACTATAAAACATCCAAATGAACTAAAACGTTGGATTTACTGATTCTAGATGATGACTTTTCAAATACAGATTAAAAAAATCAGACATTGAGATTTTGAACAATACTTCGGTCTTCGCATGAACTAACTTTTAATATTAACTTTCATTTGAATTATCATTTACTTTTATTTTTCTGCTTTAGGTATTTTCCTTATCATTATGCACCATTTGCATCTGATTTTCTGCAAGTTAGAAATGTGTCAGTATTTTTTGATAAAACAACAAAACCATTTAAACCATTAGAACAGTTAATGGCTGTATTTCCATCACAATCTCGGAAATTCCTACCTATTGAATGGCAATCATTAATGATAGAGAAAGAATCGCCAATAATTGATTTTTATCCATTAAATTTTTGTGTGGATCTTAATGGTAAACGTTATGAATGGCAAGGTGTTGCTTTATTACCATTTGTTGATGAAAAACGTTTACATCGTACACTTGATCATGTCTATTCAACATTAACACAGGAAGAACAAATACGTAATAAACGTGATTATGATCGTTTATATATACATTCAAGTAATTTATTATATGATTATTTTAAAGAATTATATGTTCCAGGTGAAAATCAAGTGACAAGAAAAACTCCACTTGATATGCCAACAATGTTAAGTGCAGGTATGGCTGGACAAATATGGCCTGATGATGATGATAAAATAAAACCTATTGGAGAATTAATTAAACCACCATTACTTAATTGTGAAGATATAATTAATAATCAAGTTATTTGTGTTAAATATCGAGATTTATCATTTGATGATGATTATATATTTAAAGCTAAATTATTAGAGAATGTTACAATGCCATCAGCAACATTAAAACCTCGAGATTATGATCAAAGGACACCTTATCAACCAAATCTAGGTTTTGCACAACGACCACAATATCAAAGAGATTTTGCAACAGCTCATCGTTTTATTCGTCATTCAATGGGTGGACAACAGTCCTATCAACAAGAAGAACAACAACAACCAGGCGGATATTATCCTCAGCGTCAACCAGATAGGTATTATTCTCAACAGCAGTCCGGTGGAGGTTATCCTCAACGGCAGTCAGATGGGGGTTATTCTCAACGGCAATCAAGTGAAGATTACCCTCAACGACAGCCTGGTGGTTTTTTTCCTCCAAGGCAGCCTAATAGTGGTTTTCGTCCAAGACAACCAGATGGTGGTTATCGTCCACGACAACCAGATAGTGGTTACCGTCCTCGACAACCAGATGGTGGTTATCGCCCTCGACAACCGGATGGTGGTTTTCGTCCACGACAACCAGATAGCTATTACTCACAGCGCCATCAAAATCCATATAATTCATATAGGCCGAATTATTAAGAAAATGTATTAAAAAAAACTTTTCGTTTCTATTATGCTCATGTTAGCATATATATAATAAAAGGAATTAGAACAAAATAGAAATTTACTCTGTACAAATGAAATAGAGTTCAAATTTTAAGTGAAAAATTGTTTGTCATTCTAGTTCAAATGTATATTCATGTAAATAAGAATAAACTGAACTTCTTCATCGAAATTAATCGATAAAACATTTATCAGTATAAATTATAATTAGGCATCAAAACTGAAGACATCAGCTATCTTATTTCATATTTAGGTATATTTTCTTTAAAATCAAAAAGAAAACGAAAAGAACTCTTAAAAAGAACCTTGCAATTTCGTTTTCTAATATCATATTCTAATGGATAACAAAGCTCAAGCTGTATTTCTTTTCTCAATTTATAAAATTAAGTTTTATAGACAAAAAATATGGCCCATAGCTGAAATAATTAATTATTGTTAGAAGAAACACTATGCGATACACCTAGCAGCACAATTATTTCTATTAGTTTACAAGTTTCGACTACTTATTCGGTTTTAAAATAAAAATATTAAAATTTAAAAAATTTTTCTGCTTAAGAATGACAACAATCTCTTCTCATGCGAAAAGTCTACACAAGCCAAAGAAAACCAAACTCACGAAAATCTTCATCAAATACACTAGTCTTGTTAGTGAGAACACTTTTAATTAAGTATGCTATGTAATTACAGTTCATAAAATTGGTCTCGGATCTAATTGAATCCACGTACGAAAATTTCGCATCTGACGGGCTCTATACCTAATGTACATGAACATAAATCATCATCAAGACTAAAAAGGAAATTGCTGAGTAAAAATACAAACGTAATAAAGAAGAAGAAAATTGTTTTCAATGATTGATGCTAAATCATTGTTTTCCTATATTATTTCAACTGACGTTCCATAATTTATTTTGAAGATGGCGTTCCTTTTCATGTTCTATTCTGGACCATGGTCAATATGCGAACATTGGCTCTTCTCTTCATCCAACAGAATAGAACAGGAATAGGCATTGTTTCAATGATTTCCTGTTCATAATAATATAATGAAAGGAACGAAGAAAGAGAACAAGGGAGAAAAGATACAAAAGGAGAAACAAGTGTGATGTGTTTGTATTTGATTCAAGTGAGTAGCTGTTATTTTTTTTTTATTACATTTTAATCTCTTTTTTTTTAAAATGTTTGATACGAATAGAAGAAGGTGATAAAAATTTCACTTCTCTTATTTTGTACGGATGATTAGTCGGCGGAAAATTGATTGTTGCTTGTGATATTTGATTAATTTTTGTGAATAGTCATCATTATGTTACTCGTTGAAAAGATATCAGATGAATAGATAATGTCAAAAAAAAAAGAAAAAAAGATCAGACAGAAAAGACAAAAAAGTGAGAAGGACATATCACCACAGGAACTCATTTGATTGGCATAAAGAAAAGAATGTGTTGTTATCTTTTGTTGCTGACCTCGCCACACACTAGATGGTCAATTTTCTCTATCTAATGCCATACGTACAATACATATATAAAACTAGAGAATTGTTGATGTTGTTTTTATATTTGTTGTTGTTAGCTGACGTTCATTTAGCACGATGTTTGAATGAAGAGCTGTTACAAGCCTTTTCCTTCCGATTAATGTTTGTGTGACTATGTAATCATCTCAACATGTAGAGTTATTTGCATACATACATATATAAGAAAAGAGGGAGAATAAGCGTGTTATTTCAATCATCATTACGAACAAATGCTTTTTGACCTGTTGACCATTATTTCTTCTCATTGCGCTCATATTTCTGATAGTTATATCCGAAAGAGGTGGTATATAGAGAATACTTGTATAAAGAGTCCAAACGAACGAGAGTTAGGGTATGTAATGAATAACGATGAATGATTGTATATTTATCAATATTTCATATACATATAAATTACAAAAAACGACTCTTTGTTTTTTGTCGTCTCGCATGTATCTGTTCATCGAGCGTGACGTGATCTTTTCTTTCTATATATATATTGTTTTTGTCAGTTACATATATCTTTAGTTAATGACTAGTAATTAGTTCGTCTGTCTATCTGTCTTTTTCAGTCAGTTCATCGACAAGTTGATAGAACAATTATTACTGTTTCTTACATAAATATATAAATTGTATGCTTCATCAAACATAGTTTCAATTTAATATGTCTATGTTACACATACATTATCTAGGTTTATAGCTATTATAAACTGAAGTAATGTGTAATGTCCTATTATCTATTATAGAAAGAGTAAGTAGTAACTGAGGACCTGCACAGGTAAACTTTTAAAATTCAGCTCCGAAAATTTTTCTTTACGTAAATTAGTAACAGCTTACAAGTTCAAAGAAATTATGTAATTTAAGACTAGTATAATTTGACGGATCATATCTAATTTGAGAGTATTGTACACGAATAAATTCTATATTTGATAAGAGAAAAGGATACGATTCTGTTGAATTAGTACCATAAAAATAAAACTTCAAAAAATACAATTCAAGGCTGGGTTTACTTTCAACGAGTTACCTTACATAACAAAACAATTGAAACATGTTGTCGGTGTTTCTGTACTTTACATCAACTCTGACGAAATCAGAGTTCAGATTCCAATGTACATCTCTAGTGATGACTATTGAGCAAGTGAACATCAGCCTGATAATATGCAATTTTAAATAGATGATCAATGTAAGAGACTTGCCTATAATCGCTTTTTTTTTATTCTTTTGTTAAGTTCAGCTTTATATGATGTTAATCATCAACAAAACAAGGTCGTTATCTTGTTCTTCTTTTATCTAGGCAATCCTAACCTTTTGATATAATATATATATATATATATTTGTATTATAATGTCATTCTTCATTTGTTCTCAAATGGATAATACATGTTTTTGAACAACTTAGACTAACTGTTCAATTTATTGTCGATATAAATATGAAGGTATGAGTGGGTATAAACGAAAGAATAATATAGAAGTTGTTCATATCCCTGAAGCAAAATATAACTCTTTTTTTTTGTGGTTGAAGAAAGAAAAAAGAAACAGAAGTCGAACAGACACTTATGGATGTCATCGAAAAGAATTGAATGAATATACAAGTAGCTGTCTGCTGTTTTATCAAAGAACTTGTTTCAATTTGAACAAGAACACTCCTCTACATCGTTTTTTTTTTGTATTTTATGTCATGCCTGACCCTATTATGCATTCGATACACTTGCCATCTGTTTCGTTCGTTCATTCATTTACCTATTTTTTTCTTTTTTGAACTTTATGGTAAAATGAGATTTCATATTTACATAACGCATTCCACTATCTTTGTAATTATGACTTATCAATGAAATAAAACTTGGTTTCAGATTTCAAAATGTAATTAATTTTTTTGATTTGATTAAATTATGTTATTATTCAATGTCGATTCTACTATCAATCATCAACATTTTTCTTCTCATTTATTCAGGTAAAAAGAAACATTTCGTTTTATAAAATAAACCATTTCTATAATTGGTATCAATAGTAAACGTAATTTCTGTACTATCATCATTAATAATAATCGATAGTGAAATCGGTAATATCAATGTTATTATACCATGTCCAATAGATCGAAATGAATGGACACTTCCATCGATACTTCAATGGTATCGTTCAAAAAATAATTATACAAAACCTATTGCTAGTCAATTTAACAATTACCCTGTACATATTGATGATATCTATCGTAATAAATATAGTCTTATTTCAAATGGTTCATTAATTATTGAAAATGTTCAATTAAATGATAATGATACATTTGAATGTCGATTAATTTTAATTGATCGTGGTCTATTGGATATAAAATATAAATATTTTATTACACTTCGTGTCAATGGTATGTTTTTTTTAAAATGTAATGTTTCTTGTAAAAAAATGAAATAAAATTTTTAGAACAACCATATTTTATTAATCTATCGAATTCATTACAAGTAGCTTCATATTATTCAACAGTTAATTTCATTTGTCACATTTATGGAGTTCCGGTTCCAATAGTAACATGGTATCGAATTCTTGAGAAAAATAAACAGACGATCAAAGATGAAGACTTAGAATTACTTTTAGTTGATAGTCAACAGTATGTATAATCTTATAGGTCTATTTGTATACATTTTTGATTTCTATTTGTTTTTATATAGATTGACTCTTCATAATGTGGATGATCGTATGGCTGGTCAGTATAGATGCATTGGAAAAAATCGACTTGGTAAAATACACAATGACTTTCAATTTCTTATACGTGGTATAAAAAGATTTTTCCTTTTTTATATTATATTTAATATTCGATTATAAAAGGTTCTATCTATTGGCGACGATTTCCTGAAAGTCAAACTGTAAAAATAAATGATAGCCTGATTTTAAAGTGTGAAGGTGAAAGTAGTGAAAAATTACAATACAATTGGTATGTTTGAATCATTAATGAGTCATCGAAAAATAATTAGACCAAATGTTTACTCATTTTTCAGTCTACTTAAAGCATTTGTAAGTATTTGAAAGCATTGAGTTAGAAACAGGATTTTGCGTTCTTTTCGAATATAGGTGTACAATTCTTGTAGGGTTTCTGATCTAGGAGTTATGAGTCGACATTTTAGAGTCCCATGAATTAAGTTTAGACAGATAATTGACATATTTTGCTGCAATAGTCTCCTTTACTGCATATGCTAGATTAATGATTTAGTTGTATAGAATAAAAGGAAAAATTGTTCTCTACAGACTGATATAAGAAGTAAGCGTGTCAGAAGAATCAGTTAGGAGTGACCAAGTCAAAAGGAAAAAAAAAGCTGATTTCAGTAATTCAAAAATGTTTCTGGGCATTAGAATAGGGAAGGAGAATTACTATTACGTAGCCAAGTAATAGGTGACTGAGAATTCGTAGATTTGATCTTTGGTTATAAAATAATTGATAAGAGAATATCACGATCTTTTATAAATGTTGATTAGAAGTTTTTTAGATTGAGAAACTTGAATCTATAATGGGTTTCTTGGGTAAGTGCATGAAAATAGTCCTTGCTGCATCAAAAAATGAAGTATAGAATTTCAAGACTTGAATTACATATTCGGATTTCTCGATTGTAAAGATTGTTGGTTAAACTTCATAAAAAAAAATCGTTACCTTATGAAAAACACCAAGTATAGAAATTCTTCGTCACTCATAGTTGGTAACATAAGGATAACATCTCAATCCTACTATTGACTATTATGATTGCGTATAACTATCTTCTATTCTCATTCCAACGACAACAAAGAGTGATTCAAGATATACTCGAGAAATTTCTGAAGGTAAAACAGTTGATTCCAAGTGCTTTTATTGATTTTAATGACTCGATATGTTTGTAATGTCACAGAGTTAGCTGTTTCCCCATTGGATTGAGCTTACATTGCAAGTCTGCTTGTCATAGAAATAGAGAAGATTGTCTAAACTGGCATGGTGTTCCTTACCAAAACATTCATCCTTAAGTCATGACTTAGACCCGACTAATTATTAAGATACCATTTGATTGAGAAATATGTACTCTTTCACTTTGTTATATTTGAAATAAGTGCCACTTCTACCTTGGATGATTTTTTGCACGCTTAAGTATATCCATATTTTATTTATGAATTTTTAAAAGGTCGAGTCATAACTTCTGAACAGGAACTTCTACAAAAATTTGAAACCCATACTGAGCAAGAATATAAAATTCTAATTCTAATCCAATGTTTTCAAGATTCTGAAGACTCATTAAAAAGACTGAAAAATCAATGAACATTTTATCTGATTATTTTTTCGATGACCCATTATATGTAGAAAATTTATCATACAACATTTGTTATATATAGGTTGAAAGATGATTATCCTATATCAGAAACTGTCTCATCACGAGATCGTATACAAACTTATAGTGATGGTGTTCTTAGTATTAATAATATTGAACCTTCTGATCGTGGATCATATGTATGTATAATAAGTATAATAAATTCAGCTAGTGTTCGTAGTAAACCAGCGATAATAACTGTTAAATGTAAGTTAACTATTTCTTTGTATTTATTTTTGAAATTCATAAAAGTAAATAATAATTAGATCCACCAATACCTTCGCATAATCATCAAACAAAAAATTTAACATTTATTCGAGGTTCAATAGGTATCTGTCCATGTTTACTTGATGCTTATCCACCAATTCAATCTGTTTCCTGGTATCGAAATGGTGAATCTATACGTATCGAACCAAAAGGTAATTTACTAAAAACAAGCAGAGTTTTTAGTTTTTTATTAAAATATTTTATAATTATAGGTGGTTCATATTCTATTAATTCTGATTATGGTTTAATAATAAAATCTGTTGGGATTGATGATGATGGTAAATATTTTTGTCGTGCACAAAATTCTGAAGGATTCGGTGATGATAGTATACTATTTTATGTTGAAACAAAAGGTTTGATTTGAATTTTTATTTATTAATTTATATATTGTCTAAAAAAAAACAAATAAATTATAGAACCAATTAAATTTATTCTAAAACCACAGTCTATTTATCATGTTAATGAACGAGATCAACTGATATTACCATGTGTTGCTTTTGGTAATCCACCACCAACTATAAAATGGCTTAAAGTATGAAAAAAGTTTTTGTCTTTTTCCATATAAATAATAGTTGTGTTTTTAATAATTAGAATTCCATTGAATTAGATGAAGTTAATGAAAATTTGACATTACAATATATTGATAAAACCGATCATGGTTCATATATATGTCAAGCATCAAACAAACATACAACCACGAATATTACTACATCAATTATTGTTGAAAGTGAGTCGAAATAATGATATAGATGAATGAAAAAATCATTTGTGCTGATCATTACATAATATTCAAATTGTGATATTGTTCATTTCGGATTAGAAAGAATTCTGACATAGATAAATCTTTCATCAGGGTTGAATTAGTCTAAGATATTGTACCTTTGATGAAAGCTTCGAACTATTGGATGTAGTACGATACTTAGCATTGATAGTTAGGAAAAGTATAGACTCTTGCAGGACTCCATAGTTTTTAGAAGTGGAAGACGCTACCGATTTGATAGACAGTTGGAGGCAGTCTGTTGGGCAAAAATTGACCGATGAAGGAACCATCCTCAATGATACTCGCCGTTTGAATTCATATTGTGCCTACAAAAATATCTCGATGGGACTAGCAAAAGTCTAAAATGGTTCCTACCCATGGGCTTTCGGAGCCAAGTTAGGATCGTTCTACTAAATTTTAAACACAATTTCGAGTATATACCGAAAAATAGAATTTCGACGTGAAGTCTAGTCCATCAGTGTACTGAATGACCGGCAGAATACTCTGAGAGTTTCAGTCGAAAAGAATTTATTTCTCGTCGTGTTATTGGATGTTCAAGTGAACTCGACTTTTAGGACTTGAATGTGACAGAGAGCTGTTTGAGAGATCCAATATCTTAACGAAGGAAGATTTTTTTTTCAGCTGAAACTTTACAGTTATTTTAAGAACTATTATCCTTATCTATAGGCAAAATCTTAGATCAAGATTTTGTCATTTGATTTTTGGGCATTACCTACAAATGAACCGAAAATCCATTAAAATGATCATCGATCGGCGACGTAGGCTCGCGAAGATGAAACTCTTGTACCTTTACAAGTCTCAGTGAAATTTACATATGGCTTCAATATGAGTCGAGACTTACGCTCTCCTTTTATGAAAGGAGTATGGTCAATGTCACTATTTCCTTTATCGTCATTCATGAGAAATTTTTTATTTTGTTTCTTTCCACTAGATACGACACCACAAGCACCACATAATATTCAATATAAACAAATATCATCAAATCTTTTCCTTTCTTGGGAACCTGGTTATGATGGTGGTCGATTTCAACATTTTATCATCTGGTATCGAACATTACATAAAAAAAAACGAAATTGGAATCAAATTCGTGTATTACCAAACAATGCAACAGAATTTACATTATTTGATTTAAAATTAAAGCAAACATATGAATTAACAATTGTTTCAGAAAATGACTTAGGTCTAGGAACATTTACTCCAATTATTACAATTCCTTTAAATCAAACACAAAATTCATCAATTGATTATCTCCATTATGCAAATGAAACAACACTATTTCGACCACTATCACCAATAAATTTTCATTTATATCAATCGGGATTAAATCTTCATATAACATGGAATCATCCAAATATGATTGATTCACCAATAAATATTGTTTACTATGTCATACAATGGCGTTCAACAATTTTATTTAATAATCAACAATCACAGCAATCAATTCTTGTTTATTATCCTACTCGTTCATATATATTAAAAAATATAAAACAATCAAAATATATTATACAAGTGATGTCTTATTCAGATCAAGGAACATATAGTTTGCCAATTGAATCACAAATTAATATTCGTATGTATTTAAGGATACCCTCTCCTCTCTAGTCTTTTTTTGACCAAAAACTCGTTGTTGTGCTTGACATAAAGTATGATAACTTCAAATGTCATGTGCTATTAGAGACATCATTCGACTGCAAATACGTTACTCTTACAGAGCTACTAAATTTAAGGAGTTTTTTTCATAGTAATCATATTGTAATTCTCTTTTTTTACTTAACATAATGCGAAACATCAGTTTTCTTAATTCTGATTTCTCATGTCTTCTCCTTAACTTCACCCAATCAGACCAACATTTTCACCACAAATAATTGTCAGTATTCTTACAATAAAATCATGTGTTCTCGTTTGTGACTTTGCAATCTGGATTTATAAGGTTCTGACAGTTAACACTCAGTTTTTGACTCCGAATCTTTATGTGTTTCTCTCGTCATATAAAAAAGAAAACTAGATTCTTGAAAACACTCAAAACTACCTTTACGATATCTCAAACAAAGTTTCAGCTGAATCGAATAAAGTTTTGTTAGGGTCGTAATATACTGAAATGCAATTCTATGGATAAGCATTCCTTAAAGTTTTTTCCTCGAACACGTTTCTCCTTATTTGAAATGCTCTATGTATAGTAAAAATTTCAATCTGATCGGTTGTATACTCTTCGAGAATCAGAAACGATTAAAAAAGAGCAGAGTACCCCTAAATTGTTTTCTGAAATGCAATAAGTTTCGTTTTTTTCTTATATGTTCAGGATTCAATGCAATTCATTCCTATAATGGATCAAGTCGTTTACTTATAATATTACTTTGTATATTGACCATATTAACAATAGCATCGATTTGTTTCTGTATATTTTGTGTAATTAAATATTATTACCATCGACGATCTTATATTACGGATCTTGAATGTGGTAGAGAAAAAAATATTATGAACTGTTTTTTAAGTACTGAATCGTGCGTTTTTCTCTTATATAGATTCTAAATGGAAATGTTGTTGTCTGTCTCATATCCGATACAAGTATGTATGAAAAATTGATTGAATAATAATTCTCTTTGTTTTTGAAATTATATAGATTAGGTGATTGTTCTCATCTAAAAGTTGATCGGTATCATGCAAGCCTTCTTAAATCAAATGATCTTCCAACAACGCCACTTTATCAATCTCAAAACCGAATAATACATCAAACATCCACTGCTCCAATTGGACTACCATCACCTCAAGAAAGTTTAACTGATTCAACAATATCCTTAGCTAAAGTAACAACAATACCACGTTGTCGTGATTCAGTTATATCAAATCTAATAGTTACACCACAATTAACGCGTGGTTCTCTATCAATAGACAATCCAAATGCAGTGGTTTCATCGACTCTAACATTTACAGCAACTGACGAAACTAAGATGACTTCATTTTTTGAACCAATTTCAGCTGATAATATCTCACCTGTACCATATGGTGATGTAGAAACTCGTAAAAATGGTTCTCGTCTTCCACTTGAAGCTGTGCCAGAAATTAATGAACTTGATGTAGCCAATAGTCGATATAGTTTCGATCCATCATTATTATCCACATTACCTAATTCTTATCATAATCATAGAGTTCAACCTAGTCCTATTCTCATTACATTTGATTCTAGTACATTGAAATATCGTACTTGAGTTCTTTCTTTATTTAGATCTTGACCTCTTGTGTATACATCAGATTCAGTATCTAATGCATAATCTCGTTCTGTTTTCCTTTTGTGATCTTATTCTTGTATTGTTTGACTTGAATCCACTTTTTTTTTATGTTTAATATTCAACTAGGAGTGAGAATGAATAACTTTGATTACATTGTAATAAATAGATCTGATCATTTTTTTCTTCTACGGTAATATGTTTTCTCATTCATAATTAAACTATGGTAAAAAATTTTGCTACTTAATGTGTATCCAACGATAACTTTTCAAGTTTGAAGAACATAACAAGTTGAATTATATAATATAACATTTAACTGAATGTTATTTTAGTATAGTAGGAAGTACTTTTACTATGACGTATGTCGCCATATTTTTATAAGAATATATTTTTTTCTTAACTTGTATAAGCTAGAAGAATATGGATTAGAAACCTCATAAGCAGTAACAACAAAAAAAGACAACGATCAAATTGATATCAGTAACTAAGGAAAAATTTGCTAAAAAAATATAAGCTTCTTCCCTGGCATATTGTTTGATTTTCAAGCATGGTAAATGAAAGTGTCATGAGCTGTCTGTAGTCATCAAGTCATCGCCTTTAACATCAACAGTTTATTGAACTAATACTTTTACAAATAGAATAATTTTGTCTATTAAATATGAAATATCAGAGTCTTATCAAGGTGTTGCTGATTTCTATGCGATGTTTCGAGATGTTCACGTTATGATCTTTATTTGTTTTGGATTTTTAATTGTATTAATAAAACATAATAAAGAATTGTCGAAATTCATTCTGCAAAGAGAAGAACAACACATCGGATTTTGTTTATCATATATTTTAGTTGTGATACAGTTTGTTATAATTATCTTGTAGTCACGTTTATCATGGAATGTAGATTAATTATTCGTGATTATATTTTTGATTTTAATATCAAGTCGTGAACCTTTGTAATAGATTTCCAATGAATTACTATCACTAGTTCTGCTGCTATATCTATACTTATTGTATTTGATGCTATTGTAGACAAAGCAAATCCAATTTAATTATTTACTTTATTTAATAAATTACGTCAATCCACTAATCTATTTTTGTCAATCTATTCGATGTATTTGAAATACAATAGTTTCTGAAATATCATACTCAACTTTTTTCTTTCCTGGTAACCTATTTTGGACTTCACTTGGCATTCTGCATTATAGTGATTGATTCAAAATAGAAATCCAATACAAGATGACGATGATCTTTTTTCTACGTTCGGTTCTCTATTTGTGTTCTGTTTTCGGTCATTATTCAATACCGATGTACGATTAGAATGAAAAAGAACAATTGAATACGATTCTTGTCTTATTGTTTGATTTTTTTTTTGTACAGTTACTGATAATGTTATTTGCCCATTTTGGTGCACTATTTAGCGGTTCAATAGAAGATGATTTAAGAACAGTTGGTTTTCATTTTATCAAAACCGGTTCTTGGAGAATTTTTTTACATGATACATGGAGTGTTCATAATGTTAGTGATTTTTTTTAGGATCGCTAGCTGTTATTTTTTGTATTAGTCTAGCTGCCTTGCATTCTTATTTACTGTAGATGAAAACTTTACCTAATACATGCTGTCATTGACGTAGCTGAATATATGTGATTCAAATCAGTTACGAAGCTGCTACATTGACACTTACAATAAAATATGCTGTCATTCATAGTTTAACAAGACATTCTATGTTTCATTTAGTTAAATTCAATGAATGGATGATTATCGGCTTACTATAAAGATCGCTCATATTGGCAAACACTGAATCAACTTTTATCAAAATGTAAATACTATTTTACTTCCAAGTTATGTGAAACATGCGGTACTAGCCTGATGACAAGAATTTTCTGTATCTTAACTTATAAGATGGATCATCTATTTTGATACATTGATTGAACAATAGTGACACCAAAAACACTCTTTAAATTTTGTATTTTGTTTCATTGAAATAAAAATTATTTTAATGAACTGTTTGTGTTAGAATTTAATATGTTGCTTGTTATTTTACTTTTTATTATTTACTTCTAGTTATTTATTGAATGTTATTATGTTATGTGGTCAATATACTAAGAAAGGTATCTTTAGCAAACGACAGCAAATCAATTTAATAAAAGCTTTTTAATTTTCCAAATAACCAAACTTATTAAAAAATAATTAGATTGGCTCGAAAAATTGACGAGAAAAACATCTTTGTAGATATTGGTGTAGACTGTAGTATAAAAGATGATATTTGGTATTAAAATAGATATGTTTTGAATTTGAAAACAGTTGTTCTTCGTAATAATTATCAAAAACAACGTTTGAAGTCTCAACATTGAGACTATAGCTTGTAAGGGGAGCTATTCTTCTGAAAAGGCGTAAAAATAATATTTCGAATAGAGAATCTGAGTAATATTTTTCATTGGTTACAACACAAGTCATGTATATGCATCCTTTGAAACTATTTTCTTTTATCTGATCGAGTTTCATTAATGATTACTATCATAATGATATTCAAATGCATACTAAATAGTCTCAGTTCAGAGAAAATCAATCAATTACGATAATATTTTTATATGGCGTCTGTAGTGTTGCTACCTACAAACTGTTAGTCAATTAAATAGTTCTTAGAATACGCGTTATAATTTGTTACAACATAATACATGGTGCATTCTCTATTTATGAGACTGATGTAATGATCTCTTCTTAGTGCTATGACTAGAACGGACATTGCTTACATTTTTGTCCTAGATGACACGTGCGCAAAAGAATAATGATTTCTAGAGAAATACGAACGAAATAAAACAGTCAATTGACGGTTCTTTTAGTTATATATATATATATAAATGGATGGCAACCCTTGTCGTGTCCATCATTCTAATACTAGCATGATTTCTTATAAGCTACTCATATTAATTTTTCAGTTATTGTAACTAACCTTGGTCATGAACACAAGATTAAAAATGTTTAGTAAACCTGTGTCAAGATTACCGTCATATATGAAAACACGAGCGTAATAAGTTTTAAATATATGCACAGTCATTTCAAGTAAATCTTAAAACTAGATCTAAAATGAGGTTATTTTCAAATGCCATTTGAACAAGAAGACAAGTCAAATGTTTCAACTGATTCACATTACAATTTAGTAATTGCAGCAATTTATCCATAAAAAACAGAAGCTGATAGCCATATTGCGCAAAACTAGCTGTAGATATTATTTAGAGAAGCGCAATTACATTGTACATTTTTGTACATAGAAAATGTGGCTATAGTTTTAAAATAATTTATCAAATACGTACACAATCTTTAAAAAAATATGTCTCTGTGCCTATCAAGAAACCTATTAATAAGTCCATATTCATGTATGTATTTTTGATCAAGAGACGAATCTATAATCTTTCATTTATTTCAGAGGGAATTCAAAAGAAAATAACGCTTTCAACTTTTTCTACAATAACGGTGAGTACGAGATCAAAAAAAGATTTGCTATCTTACACATACTAGAGAAAGCAAATTTATAATACAGATGATATATATGAAACGTTTCTACAACTACAGTGAGATAACATTATAATTGCACATTTCATACCAGTTCCTATGAAACTTTACTGTATAAAAATCCAAGAAGATCGCATATATCTTATCTATGTATCGATATTTCCATTTTGATATGAAATTGTATTAGAGGACTATAAACACATATACAAATTTATTCATTGATCTAACACCTTTTGAAATAGAACTGTAACAAGAAAAGACTAGAGTTAGACAATTAGAGCACCTAATACATTCATTTTTATCACCACATCCAGTGCCGTGAGTCACCTCTCTCTGTCTTTCCACCACTATTACTCTCAAATGAGATGTTTTTTGTTCATTTTCGTGGTGGGCATCATTCAGGCAGCTGTTATATATGTGATTTAGTCTTCATAGCTAATATGTTGGTTAGAAGCCAAAGAAACTTGACATTTTACATATTTTATTTCTTCAGAACTTGTTTTTCTACAATAGTTCTCGTTATCTAGAGTCGAATCTCTCCTACGGAGCAATATCTATATATATATATATATATCTCATACATGAAGTTATCATCAGTCTTGCTTCATACTTCAAGTACAAGTATGCTGATGTATAGAGTACTTACCTAGTGTTCCAATCCAAATTCTATTTGGAATAGACAGGCTTTGTGTAGTCTTCGTCCATTGTAACACAGAAAATAGATTGCTGAAAACAGAGCAGGACATTGTTAGGAAGCCTATATATGAATAAATGGCATATGTATTTTTGTTTAAGATATGATATTCAAAAAAGACTAAAAATTCAAACTTGAGTTTTCTGCTTGAAAACTTATGGATGAATTGCTATGAAGTTGTTTAGAAAATTGTATTCAATTTCGTAATTCAAACATTTTGCGCAGAATTGAAAATCGATATTAACCTGTTTTTCATCATTTATTTTGTTTCTATCTATTTTATTCTACAGGTAACTGACCTAGTCAAAAAAAAGATATTATAAGTTACAAATAAATAAAGACAAACTGAAACTGGCTACATCCGTTAATAGTGAAAAACGTCAATGTTCATATTACAATTATTAATAAATATTTTCAAGAAAACCGAGCAAATAATGATCTATTGAAGAAAAATAATATTGAAAATGTAACAACAAAGAAGTTTCAAAATAAAAACTTTTACAAGAATTTAAAGCGAACATTTTAATTACAACGAATCCTTACACACTTTATGATTGATTTGACAAACACTGCTTTAAAAGACTAGAAGCATTTGATGATCCTGAATACACTATTATAACTATTACATTTTTCTTAATTCTGAAATCGCACACACAATAGGCCGCAGTACAGTGGCTCAACAAAATAAAGAATTATTACTTCTCATCATTGCAAAAACTTTGAATTCGTAGGAAATTTTATTAATTAATAGACTGATATAGATATATTTATATATATGTGTCAA